ACCCACCGCTACGCACAACTACGCACTGATGATGTCACCTCGATTGGTGATGAAACGTTTGCAACCAAATTGCCCAGCTCAGCGAACAAGCCAACGACCCTCAACACTGTTTACCGCTCCCAGCAACGAATGGGAGAGGCACTGGGATGCTCACGACTGGCTGGATACTTGCTTATGCACCCTTGTTTGCTGCATCCTGACAAACCTCCAACATCGTTTGGACACATTTTTGCCGGCAGTGGCTTTTTTTCGGGTCACAGGCTTGAGCTCATTACCAGAACGTGAATTGTCTCAGTGCAGCTAATGAATCACACCTAATCACATTCAATCAGGCTGAATTCCAGTGTTCAACAAATATTCATATAAACTAGAAGAGTACTAGATTGGATAAGAATTTAGGCCGAGTAAGCTGAATCCATGACAAATAATTGAGAAATAAATGCATACTAGAAAGAACGTGGGACCAGAATTTATGCAGAATGGGCGCTTACATGCCTCGGGTGGACCGTCTGTTTCCGAGTCGGGTAAGCTTGCACAGGCAGATTCAGAGAGCTCACTAGCCGGAGTTGATGCGCGAGCTACAGGAAGAGAGGAGGGAGTCACACAAGGTACTGTTAGCAGTCACTTGAAGTACAATGGATCATGGGAAGACATTACACACAAAAAGCGACACATATTGGACACCGAGACTGATAGCTAAAGGGCCGAAAAAATTAACACAGGGTAAGAAGAAAGGAATTCATATGTTCAAAGATAGAACTATATGAAAACCCGTCCTTCCATTGTAACGTCTTAATGAGTAAAAACATGGTACAAGATGAAGATGACCCTTCACAACGCGATGAACTCCTCAGTAGAATGGTTGTTGGAAGTCCATTTCCGATGTTTGACAAGTGAACAGAAATGACTATATCCGTTACGTACAAAGAATAAATCAATGCTAAGAAACAACTGTAAAGGTCAAGCAAGAAACGTGATGCTTACAGACTAATGATTGTAATGGAGCATACTGTGTCAGGTCAGGCTGATTATGCTAGCTCGTGATAGGATTGCGTGATCCGAACAAAAAAGTAAACAGTTAAAGTGGGCGTACGAGATCTCGGTCACCACCAATGCCTTTCCACAGAATACACCTTCAAAGCCGACAGAATTCGGTTTAAGTACCAACGAGCGAGGGTTGCGTAGTGTCGACCTCAGCAAGACAGTCTTTAGTGTTCTATGGCGTCAAAACACCGGAGCGGTACAATTTTCTACCGCGAACTTTAGACCTCACCATTCTGGACCACAACGATGTTCTAAGTATTTGGAGTGCCACCACCTTAAATTAGTACTCCTACGTCAAACTCATACAGCATTTGAAAAAAAACGACAGACCAACGGTAAGAAGGTTGCTCAGAAGCTTGCGTGTCAACCATTTCTAAGAGAAACAAAACAGGCTGAATAGTAGTCACCAGGGTATGCACAAAGACACTAGTGTATGAAACGAAAAAACGCCCTAAGGTCGTTGGGGGGAAAATATCGTGGCCAAAAGCTCGTACACAAAAACAACACGCAAGGGAAAAACGGCATGAGCAACATGGGGAACGGGAACGGTGCACACAGAACACAAGAAAAACGAGAGCAACGAGAGAAAAAAATGCGACAAACAGCGCGGAGAATAAGGCGGGCTGCGACAATATGAAAGCGAACAGGAAGGCCTGGGACACAGTATTGAGTGTACTTGAGCAGCTTCCATTAAGTCTCTTCATTGCCAACCGCTTTTTCAATTCACACTCAGCTGTTCTACGGTTCGCGATGATACCAAGCACAGCTTGTCTGGTGACTAAGAACATAAGCGGAAACGAAAAGGACGAACAAAAAGTGAATGGAAACGAAGCAAGGAAGTTAGATCAGGGCTTCTGGATAGTTCGTAACTGCTCGTCCAACCAAACACAGGGAGTACACCAGACATCTTCATTAAAGGTAGACTGACAAAGAATCCAGGGAATACCAATATCGGACTTAGCTTTAAGTACAGTGAATCATTGATAACACTAGTAGTGACATTAGTCATTACTACTATTAGTAGTAGCCACGCGGGGGTTCCGAAGTTACGAGGCGCTTGACATGCCAAAGAGCAACAGAGCAAGCGAATGGTCGTTGCTTTGAATACTCGGCATAGGAAGCGTCGTGAACAGTCTTGGAGAGTACTGGTGGCACCAAACGCAGAATGATATCATTAAGTAAAGCTACTGGTCAATAACGAGTAGACGTGCAGCGATCGTAGTGGTAATTTGCTTTTTAAACCCCAGTTCTGGACATGAATCGCTTTATCCGGTGCCTAACCGCCCTGCCACCCGAAAGGAGCCCGAGTGCCGAGATACTTCCAGGTTTCCCAAGTATAGACAGAAAAAGTCGAGATGCCGAGTTTGGGTTCGAACCACGGACCTTCCGGTCGACAGGTTCGTGCCTTAAACAGTGAGTCATCTCTAGTCCCGTTACCAAAACTGTGGATAACACTAAGGAAAAAAAACGATAAGACAACAGCAGTTGATTCTTGAAGAGCCCAAAATACTAGAATCATTTCATTCAGGTCATCAACATGATTATAAGGCACGTGCCATGAGACGTGCATATTTATTCTACTATTCTCAGCCCCAATACTTAAAATACATTGATTATGTACAAATAGGAACTGCTGAAAAACTGGAACGGACAGACAAGTGCACGCGTCACGTGATCTACATCACCGAAGCCAAACACTTTCCTTTAAAACTATTTTTTGCATACAACACTGACTGACGACATTGATCAGCAGGACCTCGTGGATATACGGAATTCCAGAATAGAGAATTCCGATCGACAATGAGTGACGGGTCTCTTAAAAGTACACACGATGAATCAATCAGCCACGTTTCATAAATGTCACTTTTAAGAAGAATCACCTCGAAGGTTTAAATGCGGGGTCGGAATAGTTCTCTCCAAAGAACAAATTCCCAAGCACCTAACCTATGGTGACCTAGGTGAACGTTAATCGTAGTGCTGTTCAGCCACTCGAGACCGAACGGGACTACCAGTCGGAAGGCCACGGGTTGAGATATGCACCGTTGACGATTCCCAATAAGGATGAAACGACTCTACGGTGCTTTTAGGCTTCCCAACATGGAGTGGCCTTACTGAAAGGACGAAATCTCAAATAAAAAATTCGGATTCAAAGTAGGTCAATCCTTTACCTGGCAAAATGCATGAAAGCGGTAAGGAAAAGTTCGAGTACTATCGGCATTTTTCAGGACAGGGTCAGCTTGATCCTTAGTATGCTCGCCTAAGAGATACTGCAAGGTACGACCGCCACTTGACATCAGTGGAATTTTTTGTTATTTTCGATTTGGCAGTGCAGACACATTGGAAGGCTTCTGTGGCCTTTCAACCACTTTTTATCCTTTCTTACGGTACAGCATCTCAACAGTGGGTCAGTGGCATCCACCACTGATTTTGTGTTATCAGTGATGACGATGACGATATTGATCGATGCCGCTGCCCATCTGATCATTCGGGCTCATCAAATGTCAGAACATAGAAGGTAACAGCAAAGATCGGATAAAGCAGATTCCACGACAATGGAGCACGAATTTAGGCTTAGCAGGAAGCATGGAAGTCACTGCGAAAAGAGTATCGTTGTGCTCCAGCGGATACAAGAGATTTTCAGAACTTCAGTCCAGTTCCTAATATCATCATTACTTGCAATAACCTTCCTCTGAGAGAATATACACATACATGTGAGTCATTAAGCGAATGTAGTATACAAACTTGTAGTGCGAAGACAATAGATAAGACAACAGATAAGCCATAGCAATAATGGATCCCGTGATGATGGTTCCACACCCATCAAGAGTGTATGGCTGTTCACACGTGGTCCCTTTGTTAACCTAGCGCTCTGCAGCACCAATTCAACTGTGGCGTAGTTACCTTCAGAAGTGGAACCAACGGACGTAATATTCAACGAAAGTATCCGAGAACATCGTCTGAACTTGCATAAACATGCACAGCGACCAGCAAGGACCAACTTACGAGCATTCCCCCGACTGGTCGTTGGTTTCCGCCGCTTGCCTCCAACACCTGCCAACGGCTGTTGTTGTTGCTGTAATTGTTGTGGCTGGTGTGAAGAAATCTGACTAACCACTCCACTTAAACTGGCCCCGTTACCCAGCACGGATTGACCATCTGCATTTGCACAAGCGACTGCGGCTGCGAAATTCACTGCAGCTCCAGTTAGACCACCCTGGTGATTAGTAGTGACCAGCATGGAAGGTGAGGCGGCTGAGGCTGCACCTTTACGCTTCCAGTAGTAATAGAATGCAATTAATTCTTTAACGGTTTTGACGGGTTTGTTGTCCCCTGTGGCATCGTTAGACAGACCTGAAACAGAACAACGGACGAACGAAAGGATAGATAAGCATAACGGGAGTACGGTCAGCAATAAGGAAAGTACAAAGAGCTAAGGTTTAACATCCTAATGCGATCGGCTACGGCTAGTTCACGAAAGCCGGAGGTTCACGGAACCTTCGTGTTCTCATTTGTAAACACGCATAGGCAAGTAAACATGGTTTCGTTATTTTTTAGGTTTTCTCAACAGCGAGGTACCAGGTGCAAACTAAACTGATTTAAGAGCGGATAATCAGAAATGGCACCTTATCCGCTGGGCTGACCATTTTGGACAACAGTTTAGTTGGTCATCTGGCTTTGTAACCATCATTCAACCAACTCGAACCTTGGCCTGAGTTAAGTCCATTATTCAGTTTCTGAGGTACCAATGTGTCTTTTTGCTTTGCATTGCCATTGGGGTGTTGAGCCGGATTAACTCCCACCGGTGTTGTTTAAAGACTGTGGTTGATCTTAGTGTTTTGCCTTGACCAGGCCGTTTAAGGTGAGGTGGGAACAAAGATTCGTCCCGAAAACGAAGCCAATCACTCATTGTAACCTCATGCAAAAAGGGTACCTGACTGCCATGTCATTCGAAGGAAACACGATGGCTGAGATACTGCTAGATTGCCCAAGACTGGACAAGAGCAGTCGAGAAACACGGACCTTTCGGCCAGTAAATTCGCGCTTTAAACCCATCTCAAAATGACCCACAGACTCGTTGCTGGCACCCGAAGTCCGGATACTAAATATGCTCAGGAAGGGATGTGTTGGATGAAGCAGAGCGAACTTAAAGCCTATTGAATCTCAGTTTATGAGGCGAAAAAGAATATGCACAAAGCTGTCCTGCTAATTTCGAGGTGGTTTGTACTCCGAAGTACGTAAATGAAAACAAGTATCCTGTAAAACACCAAATAATTGGGCATTTCCCTATAAAGAAAACGGTATACCGGTCCAGTCAAAGAATTAAAAAACAGAGTTAAGGATAAGTCAATTGATTCAAACCTGAACAAAACCTGATTCGGTGGGGCAAATTCAGTCGTGAGCCATGCGGTACGGTAGTGAGTTCGTTGAGTTTAATAATTCTCCAGGCCTCGTTTCTTTGTTATCCTGGTCGGATATTCTTTTTGAAGTTAAAAAATGCCATGTTGGCTCCGAAAATTACACAAATCATATGAACCCGCTTCGGGCCTTAACCACTGAAGCATTTGGGTTCAATGGTCATCATTATAAAAGTTTATTATGAGAATGAGCTACAAGAATGAATGTGTCCTACCAAAAGAACGCCTATATAGACGTAATACACTACTCATAAGGTTGTTGGAAACTCCTCGACAGCTCACGACCGCTCTCGTTCCCTTTGGGGTTCATCAGGTAGGCAACCCTATGTTCTACTTGAACCTAAATTGCACGAAATGAGCGAAATACACCCATTTGCATACCAATGTGGTTTTAACAGAAGACTCAACTGGAACCCAACTGAATCCCTCGTTTATGATGTTATTAAGCAAAACCAGAACGCCTCATGTTTCAGTTGGTACGGTATTCGGGATATCGCGATACATTGTATGGATATAACGCAATTAAGGTTCAAGTAGAACATAAGGTTAACAGGAACTCCGAGAGTGCGCCTATCTGACGAGCCCCAAGAAGGGCAGAACCGGTCGTAGGCTGTCGAAGAGATTTCAGCAACCTTAAGAGTAGTGCATAACGTCTATACAACGTACTGCGATATCTCGAATATCGTACCAACTGAAACATGAGGCGGCTTGGTGCAGAGCATTCAGTCGCTTAATAACACCATAAACGAGATATTTAGCTGTGTCCTAGGTGAATCTGCCATCAAAACCAGACTGATATGGAAATGAGTGTATTCGTCGAAGAACACTTGTACTTGAGTAAAGTACGACACAACCAGTGGACAGCCGTGAGAACGAAAACTTGGGCTGCTGAATATAAGCCGTTTTACAGTGTCAACGGTCCTACCAGGATTGAGAAGAAGGGTAGTGTTCACTGGACACACATGAGCACTATAATAGGCGCAATGTGATGCACATTTTATTCGGTCCCTTCCATGGTTGAGAAGTACCTGGCTAGGAAAGAATCCGATGAGTGAAGTGTCAACTTCTAGCAGAACAGGTTGATTGTGTAAGAGGTGAAGAAAATTAAGGCATAAAAAGGCTTGTATATCCGCTTGCTACTATCGGCCGTTCAGCAGTATCTGCAATATTCCAGCAAATAGTCTATCTGTTGGTTTTAAAGAATTAACCGCAATTTTTGACGAACCCGACTTAGACTGGGAAACTGCGGATTCTAGGTGGTCGAAGATCATACTTTGTCCGAGTATGCGAAAATGCATGGCCAAATGGAGACAGCTTAAGGCAAAAGTCCGCATTAAGGTGCTATACGGGTAGTTCGTAACAACTGACACGTCCATCTAACCTTGGCGGGTTTTAAACATCTGTTGGGGTGATTCGCACCAAAAATTACTGGATAATTTCTCGACAAAAATGCTGACTAGTCTAGGTAGCATAAAGCTTGAGAACGGGTTAATTGTGCCGGTTACCAAATGTTGCCATGCTAGTGTTCACACGGATTACGAATGACAAGTACTCCACAGGAGTACCCAAGCTCTTGACAAAACCAGATACGTACACGTGATCGTGTCTAAATATCAGTATGAGTGGTGCCGCCATTGATGAGGTGGAAAAAGCCTGATGATTACAAACAGTAGGGTGACTGTAGCTGAAAATCACACTCATCTGATCTAAAGGAAACGATTAGCAACGCACTGCTTGTAGTATCTTTCGATTGAGTCTGTGGCACAGTATCTTTCAACCTGCACAGCTCATGTTAGAAAAAAGTAAATACCTTGGTCTGATTCTTCACCAGCCTGAGGGTGATCCTCAGTCTTCAAGTCCATCATTTCCTCTTCATCGGTCTTTACTTTATGGTTACAGCTCGCCCCAGAAACACCAGCTCGGCGACGTCCCCTACCACGTAACCGTCCAGATAATGGGGTATTGCCTGTTCCTGGATGCCCCAGCTGTGTTGAAGGTGTGGCTGCGATGGCCGAAGCCCGACCACCGAAGAAATCACGCTGAATTGCAAAGAAATCCTTCCCATGGACTCGAAGTGCATAGGCGAAAAGGCGTACCTGATCAGCTGTCCAATGTCGGGGCGTATCCTTTAGTTGAGCAAAAAAACATTATAAAATGTGCATAAGGTGAACAATCAAACTGAAGATTGTTTTGTCATCCGAATGAAGTAGATGGACAAACATCAAAGTACGAACTGGATTAAAAAACAGTCGTCGGTTGAGACAGATGAACAGTGGGTATCCGATTGACATCTATATAAGTGACTTGTCACACAGCTGGGTAACACTCACACATTCATATACTCCATCTACCTAGCGATGCTCCACGTGACGATTCCGTCGTTTATCTAACCTTGCAGTTGAACACAGTTGTTCTCCCCTCCATTATACGATCGAAGCCACTTGGCTTTTTCGAGGTCGTAAAGCTGAATGACTATACTACAGCAAGTTCGTCCACATAAGATAGAGATGATGGAGAGGAAACCACTGGGCCTTATACACCATGACAGTGGAATATCCATCAATTCGGTCTTGCGTGCCCAAATAAGATTCAGAATCCAACTTCTACCGAATGGTTAGACAGCTGCCCTCAAAACACATTCACGATTTTCGCGGGAAATCCGACGACTATCAAGATGTGGGCCCCCGATTTCCACCAGTGCTAAGTTAACCACTGAATCATATTGCTTCTTCATGTGGCGAAAAGTAGAACAGCTACTCCTCGGCCAGCTGCCATGCGAGCAAACCATGTCTATAAGCCATCAACAATTTTGTCCCCGAACTCTCAACTAAAAGGTAGCCTTCAGAGTAGTCGATGTTACTAGTCCACGATCTTGTATTTCATTGTCAATCATCATCACCATCATCAAATACAGCAATATCAGTGTGACACTGATTCTATAAGCCATCAACAATTTTGTCCCCGAACTCTCAACTAAAAGGTAGCCTTCAGAGTAGTCGATGTTACTAGTCCACGATCTTGTATTTCATTGTCAATCATCATCACCATCATCAAATACAGCAATATCAGTGTTGACACTGATGCTTTACTGTCAATTCATGAACTGAGTGCTCCAGGAGTCGCTTTTACCTGGTACATGGGAGGCCGATAAGCACCCTTCAAGGTAATTTGACGCCGAAATAACGGTAACCGGGTGAAGAGGACTATCCATTTTGAAAATCACGAGATATACATCCGTAACCAGATATGGTTGCAAAAAGAGCAGCGACTATTCTGCTAAATCCTCTAGATTTTTCATAAACGGATCGAAATAATGCGGCAGTAGATAGGAAGACCTCTAAGATCCTGGCAGACAGGAATGGATAGTTGACGCTAACCAACTTAAAAGCGATTTCGTTCGTTTTCAGACGAGCCAGTAACACCATTCCTTCCAAGCGTGACGGAGAAAGCACAGAAATCAGAAACTGAGTTGGCGCACATGAGACCGATCTGAAGCTCATGGACTCATTCCGAGAGTAAAACCGATTGCGTTACGCTGTCCCAATTTTCCTGTCACCCGCCAAAGAATTAGGGCGCTGAAATTCAGTGCTTCGTGAGTTTCATGGAGGACTTCTTGAGATAATTTCAAACCACTGGAACCCGTGGAGTTAGATTACTGTGCTTATTTTATCTACAGTATTGGGGAGATCGCACGATGAGCCAACGAATATCCTCCCCTGGTGCCAGTGGTCAGAAATTTCCACCTCTGGTCTTCATGTTGGTTTCAGACAACTCAACGGTGGGATTTTAACTGTAACAATGATTTTTGAACGAACAAAGCGTATATAAAACCTCTGTGAAAACCGGATCGACAGAGACCAGTTGAAACAAGACAGCCGAGGGTAAAGAGTTGTGTGGTCGGTTTATCGGTGACTTATTCCACTAGCATCCACTTAAAAAAAACTTTACTCGTCTCAGTTCATTTCCGCCTGCCTATTTATACAGTATTTAAATCAATGCATAAAGCCAAAAGCTTACCTTTAACACGGTAAGATCACAGAAATCGCCAATTAATAAATCATACGAAGTCCGTTGATAGGTATGAGTTACTCTGTTGACACATTATTTCAGCCGATTTGATTGCATAAGGTCGTTATTTGTGATTGAAGGCTTTGGTCGTTGGTTCGTTCGCTGAGCAGGGCAAGTTGATTGCGAACGTTTCATCAACAATCGAGGTGACATCATCAGTGCGTTGTTAACGAGTGTGGTGCAGCTACGCCTCAACTGACCACTTCCACGCATTCCCTCCGGATATGCCGGTTCGTTCGCAACTTACAACGTCCGCGTGCCCATTCCGATGAGACCGCTTCAGGTGGTTGCAACCCTACCATAATATCGCCATCAGGCCTAACCCGTATCAGGCAAGATGTAACGATCGTGTGCGGGTGATACGAAGTGAGGCTGACTTGCTTTGTTGTTGAGTCAGAGGGGGCAGGGGCCATTCCACTCGACTGCAACGCACAACCGGGGTCACTTAGACCACCAAGTTGACTAGATTAACGGTCCACTAGTAGTATCAACTGATGTGACATGAATGACAGGGGAGCATTTATGTTAGGTTTTTGACGTGTGGGAAGCAAGACAGGCTACTAGTGAAGATTCCTCACGGATGAGAGGCTAGAGTTGGCTAAATAAGCACCAGTATACGAGTACTCGTTAAAGAGTGCCGGGAAAGCTGGGAAAAATAAAGTTAAATGTTCAATTCCATTTACGCTTGCTACGGCGTGACCGGAAACACGCAACTAGACAGTGTTACGAGAATAACGAACTTATACTGAACGACCGCTTGGGAGAACGCAAACGATTGAATTTCAAGGCGCATGTTCTCTGGAAAGACAAAATAGCAACAAATACGTCGTGATGTGCTCAAACGGAGTCCATGACAGTCCTAGTTCGGACGTGTAGCCTACTTTCCTATGTGCCGGTGTTCGGGTGGCTTAACTGCATCTTGAAATATACGGGAGCATTTCCTTCCAGAAGAAGAACTGAGGCTAGGAAGCGTAACATTATAATGGAAAAGCGTGTACCTACAGTAAAGGGCACCACTTGCCTTGGATGCGATCGGATTGTAGGATATACTCTGAAGAGCATGTTTGAGAGAGTACCCCGACTTGTGCAAAGTGTCGTATGCATGTTGGGTAGTTGCAGCCAGATTGGCAAGAGTAAGGCCGTTCTCAGCTGATGATAAATCATCATCTGCACCGCCAAACCCGAAGAACGCCACCATCGATCGCACCGCATCCAAATAGGTTTTCAGAGGCTCATCCATAATATCACCATTGAACAAATGATTAACCTCAGATGCCTTAAGGTTGTTTGCTGCGGATAACCTCTTGGCTAAACCGTGGGGTCGCCAAGTCAAGGTTTCAAATCGTCTAGCACGCCGTCTGCGGGAAAGCAGTTTTCTGACAGATGATTCTGCAACTGTGTGACGATGGGAATGAAGATGTGCCAATGAAGGGGAATCCTCTCTAGGCCGTACGGAAGAGAAGTTCTCCAAGGCGGGAGGAGACTTTGGTACATCCGTATCCAAATCAGCATCCTCAAGTTTGCATTGTTCCTCTATTGTTTGAGGCTGCTTCTGAGAAATGCATTCTTCCATACTATGAGGAGCTTCCGTTACTGAAGCGGCAGCGATGGGAGAATGCGTTCGTTCATCAAGTTCAGGTTTCGACTCATCAAGCAGCCCACCAGGCGGAACACGAGGTAGTTTAGATCTACGTGGGTAATGCCCATGGGTACTGTGGAGAAAGCGACAACTTCTGCCGCACCGAAGTTTATGTGGATGTGGATGGTAGGTCGCAGGCGGTAGATGTCGAAAGCGTGGTATGTTGGCCTGGAAGGCATGACCTACCTAGAAGCCGTAGGAAAAGGGAACAAACAAAAAAAAATCACCCGATCAGAAACCAAGGAATTAGTCTGCAGAGCAATTCCTATTAAACTTCATCGTGTATTGAGACTCACAACAGCTTTCCAAGCTCAAAGCACAGAGCTTCCCAAGCGTGTTTATCCAAATGAATAATAGAACTACGAAGGATAGCAATGCGGAACATTTCGAACAGAGGAGGATCATCATAGCAATTCAATAAAGCTTCCTTATCCTGCGGATTATTGTAACTCACCCGGATCTCAGCACGAGTATGCATTAGTCTTCGAGTTTCCGGGTTGTAGGCAAAAACGTAGAAAAAGCAATCTTCCTCGTCCGGGGAGAAAGTGTTCAGCGCTGTGCGTAGGTCTTGTAAATGGCTAACTTTACAACGTCCACGCAGTTGCTTCGAGGCGATTGTTTCCTGCACTTCAGAGACAAATAGCTCACGTGACAGTACCTGAAACGTTCGAAAACCCCAGATGCAAAGTGAAAGGCGAACTGGTAGATGGAATAGAGAAAGTGAAGGCCAGGAAGATTATGTATTGCTTTACGATGAGAGTTGTCCGTGAATTCGGTTGTCTATTCGATCCTCAACGTCTACAAGTAACGTGTTTGGGCCCATCGAGGTTAAGCTAAGATCCAAGGAAAATGAAGCGGACAGCTGTACATACAAATGCAGCTTGGTGGGCATTCCCATGGTAACATCTGACACAGAATCAACAGTGGACGACCTAAATGAATAGACCCAGAGCATCGAGAAGTAAAAAATGGAGACAGCCCGTGTGTTTTTCCTCCAATGAAGAATGAAATCGTCTCCGTTAGCCACTCTGTACCGACATAGTTATTGTTGGAAGGAACATTTACAAAAGCGTATCCATGTTGACCTACTTTTAACAGGCCTATCCACACCAATCGCCAAAACTGAGCACTACAAAGTAACGTATGTGGCGAACAAAACTTAAGAGGAAATACGTTCGTTCAGCTGTGACACCCTTTCCGTGCCTAGCTAACATGCCACCCGAATGAAGCACGAGGGCTCAGATACTACCCAAGCCTAGAGAGGAGCAGGCGAGATACCGAGATCGGGTTCGAACCACGGACCTTTCGGGCAGTAGGTTCGCACCATAACCAGTTATCTCGAAATTCAAACATGTGTACTATATGCGCCAGGTTCTTCGAGAACGTTGGAATAAAATCAACCGCAAGTAAATGAAGTAGAAGACTGAGTCGTAAATAATATAGGACCGAGAGGGTATTCAAGCGTGTTCATTCAGTGTTCCCACCAAACAACCACTTCGCCCAAATAGTTCTCGCCTTCAATTTGGTTCGCCTGAGAAAATGCGCCTCATACCAAGACTTGATATCAACCGAAGGGTTGTGGACCATTGAAATGAGACTATCATAATTAGACAACCGATCCGGAAAAAAGCAAATGAAACGTTTCCATTTTAGACGGGAAGATTATGAACGGAGAGACAAGTATAATCGTGGAAATATTGAATGTGACCAACCAATTCAACGCGATAGAAACAAGCACTAAGAAATCTATCATGAGGCGTTGGTTTTTCCATGTGATCGCCATCACAGTACTTTTTGTTCACACGACTCAAATCACCTCCACATTGACCGGCCGATAGTAGGTGGTAACATAATGGAGAAGATGCTATTCTGGTAACATAATTTTACATCAACATATTGGCCGCCATTCATGCTAGTCATCGAATTCGGGTCGCCCAACCCATAGGTGATCTAGTTTTTTTTCAAAGTAGCAAACTTAAGTTATAATGCTAAACGTTCTATGACAGTGCAAAGTACTTATAAATCCACTCTGAGGGGAGGGTCGCATGATTGAAACACCAAACCCTCCGTCCAGTCCTTAAATTTTCAAGTCCCATACACATGATGAGTGACGACCGTTTAACCGACAGTAACTAACTCAAAGCAGCCATGCCACATAAGCAGCGATAAAATGGAAAGAATGGAAAGCAGGGAATGAATAAAGAAGACTGCTTGGGAGTTTTTGTACGAACTTCCAAAGTAAACCAAAAAGGCGGAATAAAAGGTGGATGTGTGAAAATTGGGTGGCGATGAGAACAGAAATTACCTCAGCTTTTCGTAGTGAATTCGACGGTGAGTGAAACAGCTCGCGTTCAAGTATACACTGTTTGGACGACTCGGGAATATCATGAGTCCGGTAGAAGCATTTTACTGTGATTGCAAATTTATCACGTCGGGAGAATTTGATCTCTTCAATGAGCCCAATAGTGAAATACTCGAAGTCGGGTTCCTCGTAGTACACGAAATTGCCTTTCAAGAGAGGAAAACAGAAATGTAACCCAGCAAAATTGTAGCAACGGACCGATGGAAGCCGTTTTTTGAGGGTTATCATTACCAATGACTGCCAGATCTATCCGGTGAAGTAACCCCATAGGTCGCCCCACTACAATATCGTCAGCACCATTTAGTCTAGGTTTTTGTGTCCTGAAGACTACTTTGTGGAGAAACGAGATATATTAGAAGAGCAAAACCGAGCGTTTCAGGAACTGCGTTCTCCAGCTGCTCTTTCTTCCCGGCCCAATCCGATCAGCCCCATAACACTTTACACATCACTACCCATTTCGTACTGGGCATACATTTGATTATGTTGCAAGATGCCATTCAAAGTTTGAACTTATGTCAATCGCGACAAAAGATGCCACATAACAATAATGATAATAATAAAACAGCAGCAGATGAGAAAAGTTCGTCGCTATGATTACTGACTACTGATGCAAAAATGAATCAGAACAGACCTAACAAGGACATGATAAAACTCTCCTTAACTGCGGAAGGGGCCTCAGTCAGTTTTCTGGCTTGCTTCAGGAGTTATAGAACGTTTGGGACGTTCAGAAGCATTTCGTTCAACTGACTTTGGCCCTTAATCCATAAACCTTAACCCATAACCGACTGAGCAAACCTGACTCGCACAGTGAATAAGTGATATCCTCCATTGGTTTATGTCGACAATGCATATGGAGGGCCGAAACGTTATTCAATAAAATAAGCCGGAAACTAAGCTCACTGTGCTGCCCTCCCAGCCCCGGTTTAGAACTAACGATGGAGATTATCTTCAAACCAATTTACGCTTGCATTTTTCCACTTTTAGGCAGGTAAAATGCTAATACGACCCTTCTTCAATCGTCTTGAACGCAAAGATCAAACATTAATCCATCATCGACAGCACACCAGTAATCACTGTCGTATGTTTCGGGACAAATGATCCCAGGGACCGCAAAGGAATCACAGCAGGATGACCGTGCAGCGAACCAAGAATAGCCTTGAAATCAAGCACAACAGCTCAACCGGTTTATCCCACCACCAGTAAAATGATGGATGTAAAAGCTGGAGTGATTCGACAACACAAAGATTGGCTGCAATAAATGCTTACCAAGCGGGATGTCTGCATATGCGTTCACACTTCAGCCCAAGCAAAACTGGAAGAAACGGCATACGATGCCCTTAAAATCTATTGGTTGCTCGTCCATCGTATCTCGTTCAACTATCCGTAAGTGAGGGATGCCAGAATAAGCACGCGATTGCGGCCACCTTTCAGGTGCTTTAACCCTTTTGTCTGGTGATCCTCGCTCTGTGAACGTGCTTGGCCGTCTGGCATATTCATGAGCGGAAATGCAACGAGAACACGCGCACATAAGATGGAACCGGTTAGTTTCACGATATGTTGCTCTCGTGCCGGTATGAAATTTCGTCGACTGGCCATAAACAAGCTGAAAGGCGTCCTATACTGCCCTTACATACGTCGCTACCGCACATCCACCAGAACAATATATGAGGACGGATAATCGTGAAAGCTGGGTGGACGGAATGAGCTCTAGATTCGTGATATGCATGCATTACTGACTACTTTTAGTGAGCTCAAATATCCGGTGTGCTAGCGTCACTCATCGTAGCTCTACACGGAAACTTCAAAATATCCTCACCACTCATTAGAAATTCACACTCAACTAAGAAGCAACTTGAAAAGTAGTCACAAGAGAAGCCAACGGACAGCAGTGCGCACGGAAGTAATCTGCGCTATCGATTATCACCGACGCAATACCAAGTAGCTCAGGTCAGGAATGTTCATTTGTTATCCGAAATACTGGGAATTCAAATCCTGCTCCGTACTAATAAGGTATACACTGGTAATGGAACTATTTTGCATGTTAAAATTTACGACTCGCATTTAAACGAGGATTTCCTACGTATCACAAACACTCGGTATGGTGACCGCTAGTGAAAAGTATGAATACGAATGTGCAATGGGGTTATTTGTTTTAGTTCACCAGTGTCATGGGAAAATCAAACTGGTTAACCGCTGTGTATAGATGACACCCGTTGTACTGGCAATTTTCGGGTCAGACCACTGATAACCGGTTCGTTGTCCTGTTGAGAAATGAATCTCTTTCTACATTAAAAATGAGCTGTAGGATAGGAGTGTGAAACTTAGAGCTATCGGGCATAGAGAGACAAGGCCGCGAAAGGTTGAATTCGAATAGAAGAGTATGCCATATATGGCAAACCAACCATCATTGCAACCACCGACCCCAAAGCGTGCGACTTTGTTCGCGGTTCTGGAGGAGAAGCACCGATTATGGATAAATTCCAATCAGCCGGTGGAATCATGAGTGGTACAGGCCGTAGTTTTAAAATTATTAGATAAAACAAGCAAACAATGCTTGAAGGAGTGTCGACTGTGGGAACGCTATGCTGCTATTGAACAACCGCAATCGTCTGTGACAAACCTGGAAAGCTATTAAGGAACTTGCAATGGCAAGGCCATTATTTTCGTACATTCCACTCATTACAACAACCCCTCGAAGTTGGTGAATTTTACAATTCGCAAAATGTTTAGACATAGACCTTAAGGCTAACTTTGGGAGACAATATATCCCCGGACAAAACACTACGGGTAACGCGAAATTCGCAGCAACACTGCCACCGCTCTTAAGTGACTACTACTTTCCCAGTAGTAGAGCATAGTCTGAACATAATCTGAACCATAATCATGTCAGCTCGCCAGTAGGGTCGTTGATGTTATGTGCTGTACCACGGGTGGACAGTTTGGATTTTGCTCGTGGCCTATATAAAGGGAGTAATGCGAATGGTCGGTCCACCAGCAACATTACGTCGGGATGGTGTGAACTACTGAAGCACCCCTACAGCTGCTGTGGTAGAGAAGACAGACACATTGGATACACTGACACGGGATGGGAGCAGATGTGGAAGGCTACATCGCTGATAATTCAGCCGAATAAGAGCTGCTGTAAGACGACTGAAGCTGCTCAGTATAGAAGTGTCGCCATTCAACGAAACGATTATAGAGAAGACGTTTTCAGTGCTTTTTCAACACCAGAACTTTAAAGTGAGTATACCAGTGTCTGAAGAAGATATTTGGAATAGGCCTTCTTCAAAACGTAATTCTGGCACTTGGGGTGGATTGAACTGCCGTCACTTTTGGGACGGAAATCTTTTTCCGAAGTGTTCGTCCTTTGAGGAATTACCTTGTCACTGATAAGTGCATTTCTATGATTATACGTGCTTGAAGGCAACTTTCGTTTCCACCCATTTTCAAGCCAGTATACTGATTAAAACTGTTCAAATTTCGACTCAATTTAGATTATTGCAAGTTAAAATAAAATGCGACCATCTGACACCATACACCAATCATATGCTAATTCGTGTCCAAACACAGTGAACAACGACAACCGAAAACGACTACAACTGTCATTCAAAGGCAAACGTCCATGGGATTTCGAAGGATGCGATAGTTTTCAGTTGATCAGAAACTGAGGGACTATCATTGATGTTTGTTTTTACCTCAGACAACCTAATGGTACCCGGTCTACATCAAAACATACTTTTTAATTACCTCCTAATGAGTTAGCTGACGCAGTATACAACAAGCAACCGTTCTGGGAAATCGGTGGTTTAGAAGCTGACTACCATGGCGCAGAGGCAAGATCGCGTAAACGCATAATAAAACTCGTATTGTGGCCTAGTAATGCGACTTTTGAGATCCAAGACTGTTTTGATGCAGCAAATGGTATCAATTACCAATCGGGCAACTTGAACTGGGTCCTTCATATTAGCACGCCAACTTCATCAGACGCATTTCCGTCAGATCACACACGAACGCCAAAAATATATATCATGGCCGAAGAATCCGAGTGTCGGAAGAGGGCACGTATTGCTTGGATAGGTTTATTTTCGATGGACTAAGTTGGGACCAGAAGAAATCATACCATAAGTACGTGTACATACAGAAATAAGATACCCAGGTGTTGATTTACAGGACGTAGACAACCTCTTGTCGGCTAATTCCATTTACAATGGTAAACTATGGATGAGAAAAGTCCTGATGTACAAGACAGAGTGCAACAACCTTGGCGTTGAGGAAAGTAGCTTACCGGTTTGGTATTCAGTCCCGTTAACGAGGCACGAGGAAACCCGTTCTTCGGCAGCGCCTCCACCACTGCCATTGGTAGCTCCTGTGTTGGCACCACCAGCAGCAGTGGCGGAGGCAGTACTGTTCGCACCTTTACCCTTGCCTCGTTTACTTCGACGTAAAGGGACTTCTAAATTATAGTCACCATTAGATTCCACCGGTTCCCCAGCTCCTTTGGTAGACTCTGTCTCCACAGGGTGATAATCCGTTTGAACAGCAGGGTCTGTATTCGGCAAATTTGGAGGAGTAGCTTCCTCGTGATAATTTGCATCACACGTGGACGGCAGAAAGGCACAGTCAGTCATTTTTCAGCTGGAAAAAAGATCGGCCGATAAATGTGATGCTCGGTAGAAACGCTAAAAGGAAGAATTCGGAGGAATAGTAGACAATGGATGGGATCGTTATAATGGACCGCCGTCTAAAGCAGGGACAGTATCAATGTGCGATGGTATTCGAAGGTGTTCGGTGGAATCTCACACCCCCACTGCACAGGACTGGACACTGCAATGGATAATAACCAAACTGGCATGTGACTAAAGAACATTAAACCGGTAAAGTCGGTTTGGGACCAAGGGGAACTTTCATTGGATCCGATAATCAATCGAGTTTCAGCATCTTCTTCGGGTTTGTTGACAAGAATGCGTCTGGAAGATACTGGAATTCCTACGATATTTCAGGTGCTTACATTTTGGATGGGGTACAACTGCACACCTCCTGAACTGTCTTGAACCGTCCAACACACGCTGAATGCCCGGTGGTCGTTCAGATGGAATCCATCATCATCATAATCATCATCATCACCATCATCATCATCATCATCATCATCATCATCATCATCATCATCGTCATCATCATCATCATCATCATTATCGACAGCATGACATCAGTGTTCAATACCGATGCTTCACTGTCTTACAACCATGATTTATTTGAAAGCCTTATTGTAAAAAAAGTAAAGGTGGACGGGGGAGGGACTTAGTGCTAGCTTACCACAATCATTCCGAGGTGCTTATACCTCCGAACACTCACTCAGGCGATCTGGATAGAAACTGATAACGAGAACACCACTGACATCGGTTGGCAGCCATATCTTGTAGTGTCTCCAACCAGGCACAGTGAGGATCACACGGTCCCCATCCTGGAAGGCGAGTAGCACCGACAGCACCCAAGCGTTTC